AATAACATGAATCATATCGCATGCTGTTGTTTGTGATATAAAGTCCAGATGTGCAAAGTTTTTTGTTTGAATACTTTGATCAAACTGGGTGTTCTCAGTTCAGGATTTTGAGTGTGTGTGTAAATCCACCTAATATTTCAGTACTGCAGAATAGACACTAATTAATCTATGAAATGATCAGTTAATATAAGTGCCATGTTGATGTATATCCATTTTATGCATGAACATGCTTGTTAAAAGCATTCTCATATGACTGAAGCCAGCATTAGTTAAGTGGATCATGTCATCTGTCAGTGTTTGATTTTATGTCATGTCACTCACTGTTGCTGCTCATGCGGCTGTGGAAGGAATAGGCCGGGCTGCTGGGTTTGGTGTAGTCATGGTTTATGTAACCGACAGTGGGCGGAAGAGCATAACGCCCCGGTCCGGGCCCTGCGGGCATAAACAAAAACACAGAGTATGGAGCCATTTAGCATTTATAATACGGAAATTTGAGCTACAGAAATGCTATTTAAAGTTAATTCAAATCAAACATATGGATTAAAATCAAGCATGTGGATTTTATTAGCTTAATATGCCAGTGAAATAACATGAATCATATCGCATGCTGTTGTTTGTGATATAAAGTCCAGATGTGCAAAGTTTTTTGTTTGAATACTTTGATCAAACTGGGTGTTCTCAGTTCAGGATTTTGAGTGTGTGTGTAAATCCACCTAATATTTCAGTACTGCAGAATAGACACTAATTAATCTATGAAATGATCAGTTAATATAAGTGCCATGTTGATGTATATCCATTTTATGCATGAACATGCTTGTTAAAAGCATTCTCATATGACTGAAGCCAGCATTAGTTAAGTGGATCATGTCATCTGTCAGTGTTTGATTTTATGTCATGTCACTCACTGTTGCTGCTCATGCGGCTGTGGAAGGAATAGGCCGGGCTGCTGGGTTTGGTGTAGTCATGGTTTATGTAACCGACAGTGGGCGGAAGAGCATAACGCCCCGGTCCGGGCCCTGCGGGCATAAACAAAAACACAGAGTATGGAGCCATTTAGCATTTATAATACGGAAATTGGTTTGGGTAATTAATGGGAAATAATTAGTAAATACAGTATTGGTTAACTTTACGGGGTAAAAAATTTAGAATTATTATCATTAACTAAAACTAGAACTATTAAAATCAATTCTGTTAATTGGAATAAAGCTCAAATAAAATAAAATATAAATGAAAAACTAAATTAGAAAAGTTGAAGCACAAAACTTACTGACTGAAAATAAATAAAAGCTGAACTAAACTAAAATTGAAATAAAACAAATTAACCTAAATAAGAAGAATGACAAAAGCACATAACAAAATGACTAAAAATGAAAGGAGGCTTCATACTGTAATTATTTATACTGAAATAACCATATATTAGCTAAAACATACCAACTATTAGCTAAAAAAATATATATACTGTATATAAATGTTGCCTTGCCAAATAAATGAAATGACTAGCAACTAACTGAAATGCCTAAGTTGAAATAACAATAAATTAAACCTAAATAGTAATTTTAACAAAATAATAATAATAAAAATGACAAAACAAAATGACTAAAAATGAAAGTAGGGTGTATACTGCAAGTAAGGTTATTATCATGAACTAAAACTAGAACTATTAAAAACAATGTTTTTTAATTGAAGTAAAGCTATAAATAAAATATGAATATTAGATGAAAAACTTCAACTAAATGTAATTAGTTGCCTTGGCAACTAACTGAAATGACTGGCAACAAACTGAAATAACTTTAAGTTGAAGCATTAAAATTACTAACTGAAAAAAAGGCTAAAGCTGAAATGAAAATAAATTAAACCTAAATAATATTAAAACAAACAAACAAACAAACAAAAACGAATAAAAATGACAAAAGCACATAACAAAATGACTAAAAATTAAACTAACATTATAATAAAAAAGGTAAATGTAAAAATGTATTCAATAAATGAAAATTATAAATATGAAAACTATACTAGTATATAAAAATACTAAAATAACACTCTTTAAAACTGATTGTAATAATTGATAACAGATAAGGACAGGTAAGTCTGCTTAGATTGATTCATTTTGTTAGTCAATATAAGGTATACATCTGCTAATTATGTTCCTCAGAGTCGTTTCCTTTTTTATTAAATCTAAAATAAAACTATGGAATGTGATTCATGGGAGACATAAAATGTCACACATGCTGGGCACATTTCTAAAATCCAGGAGAACCTTGGCTGTAAACTTTCATTCGAAATCGTATGAATTTTGCTACATAGTTAAATGTCATTCAATCTTTTCAAAGCTTTGGCCAAAACAAGAAAAGAACAGACAAAAGACGTTCTACTCTCAGAACGATACAAGCAGGTGTTGCAATAAAAGACCTAACTGACAGTTTCTTTCATCCAGTGTCAAGAGCCAAATGGCATGTTTGAACTACTTACAGAGCCCTGTGCTAAAATAAATCGTCAGATCTCCTCACTTTGCTGAATAATTCTTTCGACACAATCATTTGCACAAATTAATCTACTGAAATGAGCGGTCACAAACTCACCTCTTTCCCTGCCAGCAATGATGGGGCGCCGTCTCACCACTTCCCCCATGCCGCATATGTTTTCTGGCTAGCTTAAAGAGCTGACAGCAAAATCAGCAGCAAGAGTGCTCAAGGAGGTCCAGGAAAGGTTGAAGTTTCAGTTTAGACACACTGGAGAGGTACAACTGCGGCCTGAATTATGAATGACTCTTACAAGCGCAAGAAACCTTATCCTTGTCCAGGCTAGAAGAACATCCATCTCAATATCTTTACGCATTACAGATTTCCAATCATCCATCACAGACTACAAAGGACAACTACAGTTACACCTTGGCAACTTGTCTGTAAACGGCAGCTAATGAACTAATTACATAATGTGCGATAGACAGTCAACAACTATTTGGAATGACTACTGTTTATATTGTAGGATAACTTCATTCTTTTGAGATAACATGATTATATATTAATAGCCACCTCAAATGTAAATACTGAGAGATATTCAGTACTTCATTTCATCAACTTGTGATTTTTTTTTATCACATTCATATTTGTAGAGTAACTTTTAGCTATAGAATGGACCATGAGAGAAAAAGTATATAAAATCATAAAAATGCAATGTCTTTTCCATGACCCTTTGTAATGTTATTTATTTTATAAATTAATTTTTATGTAAAATTTACATTTGAAAATTGACTAGACCTGGAAATCACGCTTTAAAAAAATTCTTGATACTTCTAGGAGCATGGAAACTCTTTAAAATATGAATTATGAAATGTATTTAAGTATGAATGATTGTATTTAAGTATGAATGTGGTGAAAAAGTTAATGGAATGAGGTACAGAATATTTTCCCATGTTCCTAGTAAAATGTAGTTTTTTAATAATAAATAACAATTAAAAAAGTCATGGAAAACCCATATATATATATATATATATACTGTATATAGTGGGTGATGTTACATTGACCGCTTGATATAATCTGTCAGTCTCTCTTTTCCCATGGCCACCTTTAACCAGTTCTCAAAACAAATGAAACTTCTGGAAAGCTGCTCTCGTTTCTGTGGCATAGTTTTACAGTAGGATGTTCCATATCAAGTTTCTCTGTAACATTAATTACTTTGATTTAACAGTCTGAAGCTACTTTAAACAAACATTGCATTGCTTTAAAACAATCGGCTTCTCTTTGGCAGCTCTAAACTGACCAAATTCTGTACAAAATGTAAAAAAAGCTGAGACGTCATCCCTGACCAGTGAGCAGACATTAAACATTAACCTGCTCTGTCTTTGGACTGGGTGACTCGTGTAGAAGCAGGTAACACTACAGATGACCTCTGGCATACGGCCAGAGAGGACTATAAGGAGGTGTAGGTCAAGTTACCCTGGAGTTGAAAAAATTAAGCAATATGAATTTGTATCTAAACATATCCGTCACCTGGTTTCCATATAGGTGGTACATTAACTCAAAATCAACATATGTTTCAAGAGCTGGATACCTTAAGAGCTTTAAATAAAAGCAGGGAATGTTATTCAGCAACTTGATATCGTTGATATATATTATTGATCTCTGTAGCATGAAAGTGCCTGAGGACTCACTTTACAAACACTTATTCGTGAAACAATAAGCAGCAAGGATTACAGTTACAGTAAGGGTCACTATTACAACCCTTGAAAGAACATAGGCCATATTTTGTTTTAAGTCACGTGTTTTGAAATCACAGGGCTAAAATGTTAAGGACTCTAAACCCAGTGGCCTAAAGCTTTTTATTTTTTGTTCTTTGTGGGTGTCACTTAGGGAAAAGTGAAATACTGACCATGGAAGAGGCCAGTGTAAGAGCACTAATTTAACCAGACAACTGCTCGTACACACATGAATCTTTTTCCCTGTAGAGGATCATGCTCTGGCAGAACACTTCTGCTTTGTGCAATTGTGATTTTTTTTTTTTTTTGCCATTTCTGGATCTGTTTATAATTGTTTTCTTGTACTGTACTTCTTAAAAAGTCAGAAAATACAAACAATGCAAAAATAAGTTCAAAATCAGTAGTTTTCATAAGTAATTAAAGATAAATAACTGTGGAAAAAAATTTGAAAAACGTACTTGTTTTCAGAGAATATACCTAAATGTTGTAAATTACACAAAGTAATATATTTATTCATTTTAAAAAAAAAATGTAAATAAAGAATTTTTACTTGTTTAAGCATACATACAACAAAATCTATTGATGTTAAAGCTTAAAACAAGAAAAACTGAAATTCCAATGTGGTTAAAAAAAAGCATATTCTCTGAAAACAAGTAGATTTATCTTGCTTTAGCGAATGCTGCGATATTTGTACAAGGCAAAAATACAGATTCAGTGTTTGTTTTGTTTTTGCTTGTTTTTGGTCAAAAAGGACTAAGTTCATAAGTTTTATCTTAAAGAAGGATTTTATGAACAATATTAGGGTTTAACAATTCAGTCAATAATAATATAATCTACCTACACATAACTTAAGAGTCAAAACATAACTTTAAAATTAAATATGTGGATACAATTCAGTACAAAAATAAAAGCAGTAAAATGTCTCAATACATAAAATTATTTTCAAACAGTTCAATGCTACAAACACAGTTACAGTTTTGTAACGGCAACACGCATATATAAACATGAGAAACAACATTAGTTGGCCAAGTCTTTCTCTCCATTTATTAAAAGGCCATTTTCTGAGTCCACTCTGGGGTTCCAACATGTTAACTTTGTTGTAGTGTTGATCCTGAATATAGTGAAGGTCCTCCTTTACGACTGCAGTGGAACTTATTTAAGTGAGAGGCTTATTTCTATGTATTGATATGTTCAGCATTGCATTGCATGTACTGGTTATTTAAAGAAATAGGAGACTAAAAAGTGGCAAGATGTTCTGTGAGGTATACCTGTCAAGATTTTTAGGTAAACTGCTGTAGTTTAGTCACCATTGTCACTCAAACATTCATGAAAGGTACCTTTGGTAAAACTGGATGGTCTTAATATTCTTCCAGTTGTCTTGAAGTTACACAAAACACTGGCTGAAAAAACATTCAGACATTTTCCATTTGTCCATGAGGAACCTCTTTAGCATACAGGTCGGCTAAAGTTAGCAAGGTCACGGGTCCACATATAGACCATGTGTCACGTCGGCTAAGCATGGCTCGAGCATAGTCATCAGTACATGTGCAAATTATGACCTTTAATTAATAGCTCCCCGACACTATCAAGAACTTGTCTCCATGGATAGCGAGTTGCGAGGATATAGTCCACGTGATCTCCATGGCTATTATCAAAGACGGTTTGTTTTCCTGTATAATAAGGCATTTTAGAGAACTGCACAATTGAATCTGTGTACGAGGGACCAAATGCCCGACACCTTTTGTTGTTTGAACATCCCGCTTTGAGTCCAGCTGTACTTTAACTTTCCTGATCCAAGCCAAGCAGCAGTCTGGAAAATGTGAAATCTTCCACAGTGTGCTGTTGTTGTTAAATGTTCTGCCTGCCAGGAGCGACGTGCTATGATTTATCTCCTTGAAGAACCTGAAAGCAGACAATATTACAGTAATCAGATAAACGCCCACAGAACATGAAAGGCGTCAAATAGCCATTCAAAAACAATCTGAGGCCATGGTTTTGGCACAGATAGTGATGGCTAAAAATGATAGTTAAAAAGTCTTTGCATATTTGCGGTTTAGAGATTTGGATATTCTTAGTGAAATTGCTATGGGTTTATCTCTTGTTGGTCTTGTCATGACGTAGCAGCGGGTCATCCAATGTGAAGTCAGATCTTTCCAGATGCTGACAAGCATTTGGGTCATGTTTTTTCATATAACACAGACCACAACACACTAGGGACGCATGAAAGAAGTTGGGTATATTCTCTCCAGTGAAGGACTATCCCTGTCATTTCCAAAACAAGATTACTGTGGAATCTGACAAATGTGAGCTCCGAACTGAATACATATGTTGAATGATACTCGGCGTGCAGAACTTCATTACTCGAGTTTATTTAAATAGTCCGGTTTACTACGATGGTTAAAGTTACCTGAAATCATACGAGTCGCCTCATGTTATTTACTTCTGTGGTTACCGAGCAAAACACAGGAAACTCAGTACAATAACACCAGCAGCACTTTAATTCAATTAACCCGGGCAACTCCAATAACTCAAGGGCTTGGATCCAGTCTCACAGAGTTATGAGAGCAAATACTCCTGGCATAACAGTTGAAGAAACTAAAGCTGAAGAAAACCAGACACCTAAATGGTGATTAATGTAGAATGCGAATCAAAAGCTCCTTACCTACCTGGTTGCGGGTTTTGTGAGATTTCTGCAGCCAGACCCGCCACTGATCATAAAGTTTGATACTCATACCGCTGCAACCATAGGCGTGTTTGCGCACCCAGCCAAAGAACTGCTTCAAATCTCGCCGCAACGTGGAGTTCTGCTGCCCCACCTTCGAGTCACATGACCCTGTCTGCAGCCGCTCTGCGGGGCGAAAGACAAAAATCAACACGTGTCCATCCAGGGAGACAAGCGCCTATCGTACACGCATCAAGCTTATCACAGATACAGAGCGCAGTTTACACAGCCAACCAAACACAAGTTGGGATAAAAATAAATCCTTTTTCCATTTTAAATAAACAACAGGTTTCTGAGCTCCAGATGTGGGCCGCTCCAGAAGACTTAATGTGCAGAGGAGTTAATCTGTTAATCTTCAGAAACAATCGTTTGAAAAAATATATCCAACACTCCCCCGTGGCTCTCTGGCAAGCCACAAAATGGGGAGATGTATGACTAAATTAATGCGTTGCATCTGCTAGTTGGTGTCTGCTGTACTGAGCATCGTCTTCGAAATATGTATCTGATTATAGGATGGACTGCACGACACATTCAAATTGTGAAAATATGATGAAGGACAGCGAAAGCAACGTCTCAATCCAACTATCCCTGCTACCATTTAACTAGTGTTGCTGGTTATATTTATTTATTTTCTATGCTGCTTTTGGCCTTTCTGTCATCTTTAATAATAAAAAGGCAGGAAATAACTAGGAGACGGATTTATATGTAAGACGAGCTGGAATCAAATTCATGTCTCCCACATGAGACCTGTTGCGCAAAGACTGCTAGGCTATGAGTCTACAAGTCCAAGTTTAAAATAATTATAATTTCATGAACTGCATGAATGGATATTCAAATGTAATGGCAGACTTTACTTGTTAGCTTTAGTTAATACAAATCTAACTGTTCATTGTTCATTTCATGTTATGTCCATTAAAATATATTATCAGATACAACTTTAATAATGTTAAAATTAATAAATGTTTAAATTATTATAAAATTAAAAGTTTAGAAGTATTTTCCATTGTTCACTAATATAGTTAACTAAGGTTTTAATAATAATTAACTAAATAACCATTACTTTCACCAAGTAATATGATTCATTAACTTAACATTTTGGCTTTTTGTGGTTGCCAAGCATGCAAAAAATTGGCACATTATCAGAATTTGTGATCATTTGTGTGCATTTACATTTATCTGCATTTTACAGTGGCTTTGAACATGGATCATCCAGTCAAAATCTGTTTTATAATCAATCAACAAAAGTCACATTTTGGATGTTATTTTTTTAGTTCAAAATTCAGAAATAGTATTCTCTAAATATGAATATAAACTATGCAACCTTACGAAAAAAAGCAAAGTGATATCACTGTACTTTGATATTTACCATGGTATTTACAAGGTAAACACCATGGTATTAGCATGGTAAACTTCCAAAAAATTGTTTCTGCTAAGTACCTTCTTTTGCAAGGATCTCTTGAATGAAATTTCTCTTACCACTGTGTGGTGTTGAGGCTGCAGTTGGATGACTCCAGTCACTCCAAATGCCAGCTTTCCTAGATCCCAGAATCCCTACCGGATTACAGCGCACCTGCACGAAATACACCGTGCCTGGCCGCAACCCTGCCAGCCTGCAGGAAGTCTGGTTCCCAACATCATCCACCACCTGCCACCAGAAAGACACCCAAAACAGTCTGTTACATCAAACACCTACAGTGGCCACATATCACACACACACCGTTACCCTGACGGGCATATTTAATGTTCTCTATAAGAAGGAAAAAAAGCCATTCGCTTTCAAAATCCTTAAGCAAGTTCAAACAAGCTCATCTACAAAGACGTAGAACAAAGAAATTTCCCCCCTTTTGTGCTCCTAGGGGATATACCAACATATATCAGAGACAAAGACAGGAGATAAATAACAGGGACACACACATAAATAATTGGCCTGCCTTCTGGCTCTACATATACTCAGAGAGCACTAACACTACCCTGAGAGAAAATCTGTTATCTACTACTTATTACAGATTAAGTAATTGCACGAGTGCAGACAGCATCATCAACATGTAGACAAGGCCATGCCAGCCTCAGTGCTTCCTCCTTCCTGTGTGTTAAAGCAGAGGTATATGGGATTCGAATGCAGGAATGTCGAAACGGCCTGGGCCCCCTGTAATTATTTACAATCCCGGTACCCCTGAATCAGTCCCTTTCCACGGTCCATTTCCAGAGTCACATTTCAAAAACTACAAACACGGTTAATATGCATGGCTCTGTAATCCGAGGACCTTCATTACTATTGGAACGTGATGAGTGGCAGAATGTTAACATCATCAGGTTGCCGTGTAACAGGCATGCTGGGTAATTATTTCCCTTCGCACAGGCTATGTAAGCAATCTGTGGGGTTGAGAACGGCCCAGGCGATAATACAACCCTCTAAACGCGCTTTGAAAACAACAGATCATCTTCTGTGATGTGCTTTTGATGGTCACTGTCATATTTTGACTTTGTTAACTATGTAGGACTGTGCAACTGACAGCACAATGATGGGTAAGGGAAAAAAAATGATGTAACCCAACCCTGCCCAGCTTCAGAAGGAAACCTGCCAACTGATTGGATCCATATGAGCGAAATGGGGACAGCGAAAGCTTAAGTTTATTTGAAGCCCTAAAGTTTAGCCGGACTCTTCCGTGGCCAGAGGACTGGAAACCATGTGCTGTTCTGCTACAGCTGGAAATGACGTTTCGGACAAGTAATACAAACACCCCAAATTCTACTGAAACATGGCTGTTATCTTTTGAACCGCTCTAATTAATCATTGCGCCACTCTGCAAATGCTTTAAAATTGAGAAACTGACACTAACTCACAAGCATACACAGTTTGCATTACAAAAACAAGTGGGGGTGGAAGTGGGAAGATGGTAATATTAATCAGGATAATGGGCAGAGAGCCGATGACGTGTGCTCATTGATCGAGAGTGCTACTGTACCTTCCAGTCACTGCTTTCCTCCAGTCTGTATCTGATCTGGTATTTGGCCTGAAAGAGGAAGTCTTTTAGTGCAGGCGGTGTCCCCCAGTGCACGGTCAGCTGGTCCTCCAGGTCGCCCACTCGGCTCACAGTCACGTCAGTCGGTGGGTCTGTCGTCACTGAGAGGAAACGACACAAACAACATGTGATAAGGTTGGAGTAGCTGCAACAAAAGACCTCATTGTAACTTATTCTTGAAATCCTGAACTGGAATTTGAAGACACTGAAAAGTAGTTTATTGAACTGCAGTTCGACACGAGTTTTAGAAAATGAAGTTTTCTTCCACCCTGATCCACAAACAATTTCTTAAATATTATGAAATATCTATCTATCTATCATCCATCCATCCATTACTGAAATTCTTTTGAATTTGTATTCAGTTTCATTACTTCTTTACATTGAAATTACAATTAAAATTCTGCATCTTATGAATTTTAGCTCTGTATGAAATAAAGTGGTTCAAATAGTGTCACGCCTCAATTCTTGAACTGGAATTTGAATTGGAATGACTGGGAAAGGAATTTATTGATCAGCAATTCAAATGAAGAAATTAAGTTTTTTTTTTTCACCCTGTTCCACAAATGTTAATTTATTAAATATTATAAAATATATAAACTAAGTACGTCTATCTATCTATCTATCTATCTATCTATCTATTCTGCATCTTGTTCATGAATTTCAGCTCTGTATGAAATAAATTGGTTTAAATAGTGTCAAGTCAGTCTCCACAAATAATAGTACAGAATAGATATGGTCATCACAATTTATGTCTGTCTAAAATTACTGATTATTTTAATATATGTGACCCTGGAGCACAAAACCAGTCTTAAGTCGCTTAGGTATATTTTTAGCAATAGCCAAAAAAACATCGTATGGGTCAAAATTATCGATTTTTCTTTTATGCCAAAAATCATTAGGATATTAAGTAAAGATCATGTTCCATGAAGGTATTTTGTAAATTTCCTACCGTAAATATATAAAAACTTAATTTTTGATTAGGAATATGCATTGCTAAAAACTTTATTTGGACAAATTTAAAGGCGATTTTCTCAGTATTTAGATTTTTTTGCACCCTCAGATTCCAGATATTCAAATAGCTGTATCTCGGCCAAATATTGTCCTATCATAACAAACCATACATCAATGGAAAGCTTACTTATGATGTATAAAACTCAATTTCAAAAAAATTGACCCTTATGACTGGTTTTGTGGTCCAGGGTCACATATTGTTCTGATCTCGTGGATATCTAGTTCACTCGCTACAAATTTGTATCAAGTCTGTTTTTACCAAAAACTAAAGTTTTGTAAAACTAGCCAATCACACACTTTTGCCATTTTTTTGTGTGCAATATTCACCAGCTGATCAGGGAACGAACTTTGGGCGGTCTGCAAGCCGAGACTAGAGACTTTTGATCTTGTGATTCAACTAAGATGAAATAAAGCCTTCCCGATATTCTAGCTCACTTAATGTTCTGTATTTTTCTGCTTTGCCTGCATTTTGTTCAAGCTGCTATAAAATGATATAGCACTGATAGTGCTTCAACTTCCAAGTAATTGTAGTTTGCTTGGATCTCAAAGCTGTTGTTTAATTAACTGGTAACTTAGATGAGCATTGTCTCTGTTGCTAAGGAGGTGGAGGCACTAGGTGTGGTGGCTGTGTCATAACTATGGCATGTTTCGAGGAGCCCCCACCTTCCTCTTAATGCACTTTCCATTCAAAATCACCCTGCCTCCCCCTTCAGGTGCAGTTACACTGATTTACACTCACAGGATGTAAAAGTTTATAACCTTTCTCATTTCCTTTTTAAGGATGGGGGGCTTTAGAGCGTGTTCAGGATATTTTATTTTAATTGCAAATACTTTCTAATGTCTTGCCAAGACAAAATGCCCCCCGACTTAAGTCCTAACAATACTAATTCATTTTTATGAAGATGTTTGTTGTATAAAACGTATGTTTGAAGAGATTATGTGCAAGCTTGGCCTGCACTCAAAGCACATAAGATCTTAAGACTTCAACAAAACAGACTTCACCCTATTCCAGTCACATTGCTAAACAGTAGCCCCAGGCAGGTCATGGTACTGGGATTAGTGAAAAACTTCGTAAAAATTCCTTTCGTCTGTAAAGGAAGGCTTTGCAGCTATGTGCGAGTAGGTGGGTAGATACTGTATGAGGCAAAGGGATACTGACGCTGCGATGGACCGCTGCGATTCGTCACGCCTCCACCCAGTTTTACAAGGAGTGGCGCTCTCACGTCGCTCGTGGTCTCCTCGTATTGTGTGCTGCCCATGAGGAGAACACCTGGGGCTGGGGTCAAAAGTCATGCACACTCACCCACGTCTAAGATATCCAAGTAGATGACGTCAGATGTTGCAGTTCCGAGTTGGTTGGAGGCCTCCACCCATATCTCGTAGGGTGTGAAGAGGGCGAGGTCGCGGGGGATGTAGCATGTGTACGGCTCTCCAGCGCTGTAGTCCTCACACTCCTTTTCTCGTCCATACCACCTATAGGTGCGCAAACATGGTTTATTTTCTGAGGCGTACAGACAACTGCGTGGACACAATACGTTTGAAGTGATACGTCTGTAATCTATTGCGGGTTCCCTATATGGAGGCTTTTAATGTTAAGAGCCAATGGACAAGCCAATCATATAGCCTCAAATGTGGGAATGATTCCTTAATTATGGCTTATTCCTTCTGGTATGGGCATGTGGATGTGAAAATTGCTGTGTGGAATCTGCATTCCATCTGCTCATTTGGCATGAAAGCCAATTATTCATTAAAAAACCTAAAAAATAAATATAAAAATAACATATAAAATGCAAAAGACAATACTAAAGCACACAAAAAATGTTTAGACTAATTTTAAGTATTTAGAAGAAATTTTTTATAGGATTTTCCCTGTCACAAAAAAAAAAAGTGTATGGCATCTGCCCATTACATTAAGCTGAAAATATATATTCTATATATTTTTAAAATATGTTATATTATATAATAATATAATATAATAATTAATTATATAAATAATAATAAATAATAATACAAACATATACCAAGAATACATTAAACTGATTCAAAATGACAGAAACAATGTCACCAGTTTTTTTACATTCTATTTATCAAAAAATAAAAAATGTATAAGCAGCACAACCATTTTCAACCGTTTTATATTTAAAAATTATATAAAATATTACATATAAAAAATAGTATTTTTAAAATGAATGATTTGTGAATGATCATGTGATATGAGTACATTTTTAAATCCATAAAAAAGTTTTTTTTTGTAAGAACATGACATATACAAACAAGATAAGGCGTGAATTTGGGAAGAGGCATTGACATGAGTGTGAATGACCTGTGGCACTGACCTGAGCTTATATTTGAGTGTGTATTTTGTCTTGATGAAGGTTTCCCCCTGGCCCCCAGGGGCCCATCTACAGGTGAGGTCTTTAGTGTTCCTGGACCAGCAGGTAAGAGTCACGGGTTTCTCAGGAGGCACTAAAAAACAGACAAGGACAATGAGTTTTCACTTAGCTGTCAAAGTGAGTTAGTGGAAAGTGACTCATGCCTCTCATTACACCTCATTAAAGGTACATGCTGTAAATGCTGGTAAAAACAGAGGTAGTACAGAAAATCTGTCAAAAATAGTTGCTTGTTTTGAAGTCAACATGAAACAGCGTATGAAATACAAAAAATAATAATTACAAAAATGAAGGAAGAGACTAGATTTTATTAAACTGAAAATATATATTTGTATTTTATTTGAATATTATATATATATATATATATATATATATATAATATC